GTTTCTCTCGTAATCCACTCTTTCTTTACGTCTTTCTTTAGGCCCAGCACGTTTTCACTTGTTTCCACAAGGGCTTTGCTAATCGTTTCCCAATTTTTGTCCTGTCTTTCGTCGATTTTGGATCTCAGCTGTCGTGCGAATTCTACTTTCGTCTCGTTATTTTGTAGTTTCTCAATGTTGAACTTTTTTCGAATAGGTTTGTTCAGTTCTTTTCTATTCCTAGCTATTTTGAATCTAATTTCGGCCATCATCAGGTAGTGATCACTGGCCGCATCTGCGCCTCTCCATGATCTGACATCTAAGAGAGATGTTCTCCATTGCTTACTGATTGCAACGTGGTCGATTTGATTGTAGGTGCGGTTATCTGGCGATTTCCATGATACCTTGTGGATTGTTTTGTGTGGGAACAAAGTCCCTCCAATGATTAGGTCATGGTTACCACATAATTCAATGAAGCGTTCGCCGTTGTTGTTTCTCTGGCCAGTGCCATGCTTTCCGATAACGTGTCCTAGGTTGGTGTTGTCAGTGCCAACCTTGGCATTGAAGTCTCCCATCATTATTTTTATATCGGATCTCTTACATTCTTCAACCAGGAGCATTTTCTTCTTCCTGGACCTCTTCTTCCTTACACTTTCCCTTCCGTTATAAGTCGTAGGAAGTTGAATTTTTCTTCTCTGTAAATATGTCCTAGATAACTAGTTTTTCTGGTTTTTACAATATTTAGGAGTCCTCTCTCAGTCCCCATTCTTCTCAGCACCTCGTTGTTGGTCACGTGCTCTATCCAAGAGATCTTCAGCATCCTTCGAAAAACCCACATCGCAAAGGCTTCTCGGAATCTTGTGATTCTTAGAGTCGATGTTTCCACTCCGTATAGCAATATGGCATAAATGAATGTTTTTGCAAATTGGTATCGGATATACAACGATAAGGTAGAGTTTATTAGGATTTTTTTCATTCTTTGAAAAACGGACCTAGCATACTCTATACGAGCACGTATTTAAAAAAAAGACCATCCATTGTATTTGAAAGAGAGACCATCCAACGAAGTTATAATTCAGCTACCACTGATATTCAAGAAGATATTGCTCAAGAGGTTGAAAATGAAACTGAAAACAAAAATGAGACAGATTTAAATAAAAATGACTGTTCTGGAAAAGAGACACGAAAGATGTAAAATTCAAAAACAGTGCGAGAATTCAGCAGGCGAACCACCTTAAACGACATGAGTATACAGGTTGTCATAGAAAAGGGAATGAAATAACTAAAAATATTTTAAAAAATGCAAGGCAAATCAAACAACGATGCAACCGTACATCTGTACAACAAAAGAGCAAACGATCCTACCTTTGTGGGCTTTTCAGTGAACAGGAAAGACATATTATTTTTAAAAAGTTTTGGAAGATTGCATCGTGGCCAAAAAAAAAGATGTTTGTGTCGTAAGTTTTATATAAAAACCTTATCGATAGGAGAAGATACATTCAAAAGGTGGGTCAATAAAAATAATTATCAGCTAGACAGCTCGTCTTCGGATGCAGAGGGTAAAGATCTGCTGAATGAGTCTGAAATACAGTCAAAATCGAAACCTGATTTCGGTTTAAAATTAGACATTAAAAGATGGTTAGATATATTACTGAAGGTTCCTAGCCACTGTTGTCGTTCCACTTCGACAAAGATCTACTTGGAGTCTACTTTTCGTTCAATGAAGCATTTACATGAGGTTTTCAGGGATTGGTGCACAATTCAAAGTATTACACCGGCGGGAAAATCTTTTTTTTAAAGAATATTAGCAGAAGAAAATACCGCTATCCACCAACCACGTAAATACCAGTGTGCCGTATGTACTAGCTATAAACTTAAGCAGATTGCTGAAGAAGATTTTCAGCATCACTTAAAGAGAAAAGATGAAGCAAGGGAAGCGAAAAATTTATCGAAAGGCAGGGCCTCTGGCAGAACATTAGTTTTAACCATGGTTCTACAGAGTGTACTTTTGTGTCCAAAAGTACTTGCCCCCAAACATTATTACAAACAAAAACTTCAGCTCCATAATTTCACCATGTATATTTTGAATAATAAGGATGTGTATCTATATGTTTGGCATGAGTCAAACGGACGTATCACGGCTAATGAATTTACAACTTGCATTACGGATTTCATTGTTACAAAGATAAACGAATTTGACCACTTTATACTAATTTCAGATGGATGCAACTATCAAAATTGGAATCGAATTTTAGCTAGTGCATTAAGTGATCTCGCTGTTCGAGAACAAATTACAGTTGAGCAGTTGTATTTGGAAAAAGGCCACACCATTGGATGGAAGCCGATAGCGTCCATGCAACTCTTGAGAAATATTTTATTTCCCCATTCAACTCGCCATCTGATTATGTTGCAAAAATGAGAGCTTCTCGCCCTGCTCAGCCCTACACTATTAAAGCTATAGATTACTCATTTTTCAAAAATTTTGAAAAACAACAATCCATTCTTAAGTCATTAAGACCTGGAAAGCCCGGACGTTCTCAGCTACATTCCAGCGGGTGAAATATATTTTAAAATTAACCATTCAGATGAATACACACTTTCGCTACAAAGATGACAAAATTCTCAAAACACACCCTCTCAGATATATGCCAGCTCAATTCCTATATCTGAATCTTCATTGTTACAAAGATAAACGAATTTGACCACTTTATACTAATTTCAGATGGATGCAACTGTCAAAATCGGAATAGAATTTTAGCTAGTGCATTAAGTGATCTCGCTGTTCGAGAACAAATTACAGTTGAACAGTTGTATTTGGAAAAGGACCACACCATTGGATGGAAGCCGATAACGTCCATGCAACTCTTGAGAAATATTTTACTTCCCCATTCAACTCGCCATCTGATTATGTTGCAAACATGAGAGCTTCTCGCCCTGCTCAGCCCTACACCGTTAAAGTTATAGATTACTCATTTTTCAAAAATTTTGAAAAACAACAATCCATTCTTAAGTCATTAAGACCTGGAAAGCCCGGACGTTCTCAGCTACATTCCAGCGGGTGAAATATATTTTAAAATTAACCATTCAGATGAATACACATTTTCGCTACAAAGACGGCAAAATTCTCAAAACACACCCTCTCGATTATATGTCAGCTCAATTCCTCTATCTGAATCTAAGTTCATGCATCTACAGGATCTTAAATATGTTATAGAAATTGATCACCATGCCTCTACGATTCTCTGCCGTATAGCGGCAACAGCGAAGGATCTAAAAAGAGAAAAGAAAAGGAAAAGGAAAATTCAAGCGATATTGCCAAAAAAAAATAAATTTTAAGTTGAAGACGGCATAAAATCTAATCTTATAGGTTTAAGTTTTCATTTTGTATTACTCCGTTATGTTCATATCGGAATCGAAGAATACTCCCATGTGCAAAATTTCACCAAAATATTTCTTTATCAAATAATATAGTTGAACGGAAAACGGGTATGTAACCACATGTGTCTGTGCTATATCTATGGCATACAAAAGAATCGATCACTTCTACCACGTTCGACAAAACCTATAAATTTTTTTGTGCCTTCTGAACATTTTCTAGATAATATACACATATTAGGTTTCGCCGTGGCAGCGACGATGCCCGATAATAATTAGAAAAGGACATTTTATATTATTCTCTTCTATGTACTATGTCTTAATTAATATCAGTACTACCATAATATGAACGTATTAATAAGATAACGCTCTGTATATCCTGATTAGCAAAACCGTATTGTAGATTGTAGATAAACATATTATTTAAAATTTATTACTTCCGTTTAGAATATAATATCTATCTATTAAAATTTATCACTAAATGAAGCTAATTAGAATTTCCAATAGAGCGAATTACAGCAATTTAATTATTTTTACATAAAGAAGAAAGATTTGTTTATGATTTATAATGTCATGATTTATTGCTTTGTCTTATTCAAGAAGATATACTCACTATAGAGTTTTTTAATTTTACATTGACAGCATCCCTATATTGTTAAAAGCGTTAAAAACAAGGAAAACACTTGTGGCGTAAAACTATTTTTTTTACTAATTAAAAATGGCTTTATGATAAAAATAGTACTTAATTAATACCATGCGGTCCATATGTATGGAATAAATTCATTTTTAGCGTTATTATGTACTATGTTAAAAAAACCTGAAACAAGTCGATTTTTATTCTTAAATTAGAATAAATTACAGTATGAAAATATTATCCCCCTCCAGCACAACCTTTGAATTATAAGCACCCCCTCGAAAATTTCAAATAACAAAGGGAGTCGTGTGGCACCTTGTTAGAAAGGGATTTTATTCCTCTGTTAAGCAATATAAAGTATTTTGAGTTTGTTCAATCATAACTGAGAAAATTGATTTTTACAATTAAATTAAATGTTCAACTTGACGACCATTATTCACTTCTTGACAATAACCGAGGCGATTTTGGAATTGTCATACAACATTTTGTATGACTTGTGTGATAGAGACATTATCAAAATTTGACATCTTAAAAATCAATTTTCTCAGTTATGATTGCAACTTAAAAAACTTTATATTTAAAATTTTCGAGAGGATATACTTCAAAAGGGGTGCTGGAGCGGGATAATATTTTCATACTCTAAATTGTCAATTTAAGAATAAAAATCATTCTGATTCAGGTTTTTTTCACATAGTACATAATACCGCTAAAAATGAATTTATTCCATACATATGGACCGCACGGTATAAGAAATAGTTCCCAATGAGCGATTTGCAACCAATAACACTTCTGCTGTTTACCGTGCACCTATAAAGTTTTAAAAATATTACAAGTGATAAAATTCCATTGGCAACGAAACTGCCGTCGTAAGTAAAGATAGTGTTCAGTCTTTCTTGCAGTGTAAAGTGTGAATAGTAGAGATGCTGCTAAAGTTTTACGCCACATAAAAAAAAACGAAAAACACAAAAACAAAAACTGAAAATAACAACTATTATAGTACCGAACTACCTACCACATTTCAGAGTAATTTTCTGTTGGTAATATTTTATCTAAAATTGCGTCAGTATCATCTAGTTCTGTCCCGGCATATGCATTTTTTCTGTAATACCGAAGAAGAAAAAAGATAGCAAAAGAAATTAGGTACTAAAGCAAATAGGTATTGTGTTTTGGGGGGATTAAAGCAACTAAAATAATATAAAAGTTATATTATACGAAATCACAATTAAGATCTTTATGTTTTAATAATTATGAACAAATAAAAGATAACAAAGTAAATGAAGTTATTTCATTTATTTTGCTCTTTCGCCCGAATTTAAAAAATGTGTCCTAATTACAAAAAAAAAACAAAACGGGCGGCGGAAAAGTGTATTTAGATATTGAAGTATCAAGTTTTAAGTAGCCCTCCTATCGTGTTCTCATATTTTCTAATCAAAATAATAGATTACTTAGCATTATATACAGTGTGTCCGTAAAGTATGGAATAAATTCGAAATTTACTAAATGAAAAGCCTTTTTAAAAATATCTAAAACACGTCGATTTTTTAGTTTAGTGTTCTACATTCTACAACAAAATTTCATTATAAAAGGTGATACACATCAAGGTGATGACGTCATCGGCTTTTTTTAAATGTCACACCCTATATTATGAAATTTTTAGATCGATAAAAATTAGCTGATTCCAAAAAGTATAATGGATATAATTTGGAATATATGCGCTTAGAAAATAAATTATTTATTATAAACTGCAAAAAGTAGCCTACTATAAATACTAGTTTTTAATGAAATGTAGTTATTTTTAGTAACGTTCGATAACAATTAAGTAGTACAATAATTGTATTAACTCGTGAATGTTCTGTATTATTGCTTAGAATTAATTTGAAGTAGAAATGAATTTGAGTGTCAAGCAAAGAATTAAAATACTCATGATGATTGGGTATGGAGACAAATCGCGAACTCAGATGGAAGTGTGTTAATTTATTTAATGATAAATATCCAGAAAGACCCATAAGTGCCCATTGCATGCAAATCAGGTGGTCCCTCTGCAAATTATGATACAACATTAGATATTCTACTTGCTTTTGAAGGAGATGCGCACACTTCTGTTCGTAAAGTTAGTCGTGATCTGGATGTTTGCAAAACAACGGTACACAAAGTAATAAAACTTGAAAATTGACACCCCTTTAGATGCACACTTGTACAGGAATTAAACGAGGATGATCCAGATAAAAGAATACAATTTTACGAAACAATGATGGACAATTGCCACTGAAATCTTCTCTTCGTTCAAAATATTATTTTTTCTGATGAGGCTACATTCACTTTAAATGGCGAGGTTAACTGTCAGAATTGTAGATACTGCGCTAAAGAAAACCCCACCTGGATGCAGGAACATTACACAATACCCGCAAAATCTAAACGTATGGGCTGGCATTATGAGAAATAGAAAATAGAATCATCGGACCCTACTTTTTCGAAGGTAATTTAAACGGGCCAGCATACCTTCAGTTTTTAAGGGGGCATCTCGTTCCCACTTTAGTTAATTTATTTTCCAGTAGAAATTAATCCTGCTGGTTTTGATGAAAGTTTATGACTTCAACAGGATGGTGCGCCTCCGCATTATGCTGTAGATGTTCGAAGGTACCTAAACGAAATTTTTCCGAACAGGTGGATTGGAAGACAGGGACATATTGAATGGCCAGCGAGGTCGCCAGACCTCAATCCTTTGGATTATTTTAAGCAGGGTCATTTGAAGAATGCAGGGTCATTTGAAGAATGCATTTGCTTTGCAAGCATGCATTTGAAGAATGAAGTTGTTTATAAAACGAAACTTGCAAATATTGCAGACCTAAAAACAAGAATAAATAACATTTCTCAAGGAACCATAAACAAGGTTCTACAAGAATTTGTACAACGTTTACAAGGGCTACAGTTCGAACATTTAAGATAAAGTCATGTATTAATTACTGGATTACTTTAAAATTATTTATTACAATTTATTTATAATTTATTAATATTAGAAATCGATAAAAATTGATTTTCTAAGTGCATATCTTTCAAATTATATCCGTTGGACCCCCAGTATTACACTTGTTTTGGAATCAGCTCTTTTTATCGATCTAAAAATGTCATAAAATATAGGGTGTTACATTTAAAAAAAGAGCCGATGACGTCATCAATTTAATGTGTATCACCTTGTATAATGAAATTTTATTGTAAAATGTAGAAGACTACGTTTGAGATTTTTTTTAAAAGGTTTTTCATTTGGGAAATATCGAATTTATTCCATACTTTACGGACACACTGTATGAAATCAATTTATTTTTAGTCAGTTTGTTTAGTTTGTTATTAGTTTGTTTATTTTATTATTAGTCTGTCACAGTGGAATCACGCTGTTGAATGCGGCATACAAAATAATGTCCAACGTAATGTATGAAAGACTTAGATCATACGATGAAAAAATAGTTGGCAAATACCAATGTGGCTTCTGTAGACAGAAGTCAACAATAGACCAGATATTTGTTCTGCGACAGATCCTTGAAAAAACAAGTGAATATAACATCGACACACATCATCTCTTCATAGACTTCGAAAGCGCATATGACAATATATACCGAGAATTCCTAACAAAAGCAATGAAAGAATTTAATATACCAACACAGCTAATAGAATTGATAAAAGAAACACTAAAAGTAGAAAGTAAAATCCGGATACAAAACGAATTAACGGAAACAATAGATGTGAAGAAGGGACTACGCCAGGGAGACGCTCTATCATGCATATTATTCAACATCATACTTGAAAAAATAATAAGAGACACAACAGTTAATACCCGAGGAACAATAATTAATAAAAGCGTGCAAGTACTAGCATTTGCAGATGATGTTGACATAATCGCAAGATCAAGAAGAGAAGAAGAGAATGATAGAGGCATTCACTCAAATAGAACGAGCTGCAAAAAATAGTGGTCTTAAAATCAATCAGACAAAAACAAAATATATGCCTGCAAATAAAAACGCACAAATAAGGCAGCTGCCAAATTTAACAATAGGAGAATACAACATTGAGGCGGTAAAAAACTTTACATACTTAGGATCCTTAGTTACGTCTGATAACAACATTGCAGAGGAAGTGAAGAGGAGAATATTTATTGCCAATAAATGTTACCATGGCTTAATTAGGCAACTAAGATCAGATAACGTCTCCAGAAAAACAAAATGCCAAATATACAAAACCTTAATAAGACCGGTACTCACATACGGTTCAGAAACCTGGACACTCTCTAAAAGGCAGGAAACGTTATTAGCCACCTTTGAAAGAAAAATCTTGCGACACATATATAAGGGCACAAAAGAAAACGGGATTTGGCGGAGAAGGTATAACTTTGAACTATACAACATATACCAGGATCCGGATATCATAACATTCATTAAAATAGAAAGGCTACGTTGGATTGGACATGTGGAAAGAATGGAAGAAGGCGAAATACCACACAAAATATTCAAACAAGTGCCAGTAGGAAAAAGAACAAGAGGAAGACCGAAGCTGAGATACGTAGAACAAATAGAAAATGATATAACAACATTAAAAATTAAAAACTGGAAAAAAAAAGCACGAAACAGGTCAGAATGGAGAAGAATCCTTGAACAGGCCAAGACCCAAAAAGGGTTGTCGAGCCAGTGATGATGATGATGCCATAGTAAATATATTATAATGTCAGACCAATCAAATACACTGCTCAAAATAATCAAATCTTACTAAGATATCAGTTTTTTTAGGAATCAGCTGTACATAAATAGGTATGTGGTGAGAATCGATTGAGATAAATTACCTACCAGTATAAGTATTTTAGCACATCGAAAGGCGAGCCGTCATCGGAAGAGGTGAAGCGATTATCTAAGCAGTTGAGGGGCCACAGCAATTCGTTGTGACCACAGACCACAACATAAGGAACAAACATTTGTGTCTATGCTGTGGTTATGACTCGGAAGATTTTTAACTTGATTTGGTTCACGCCCTATACCAGCCAGAATTTTTTTTCAAATACCAGTAGGAATTCGCAGGTTAATCGGAATGGACCACAGGAGTGATGACGTAGATTATATTGACATCTGTCAGTTTCACTTTCCATACAAACCTTGTTTAGTGTGGATAATTTGTATTTTTCGTCATTTTTTCATTTATTTTATAGAATCTTTCCGCTTTTTGCAACATTTAAGTATTCTAATGGTTACTAGAACAATTGTACAAGGTTGTGTAAATAATAAAGCATATTGTTTTATGTTAATAGCAATAAAATGCATGAAGCAATAAAGTAAGGTTAGAATTTCTTTAATTTAAACTTTTAAACTATATTTCATAGAAATAGAACTCTAAATTATGATGGTATTATCGTAAAAAAACACTATGCTTACAAGAAAAAGCAGCAGAGGAAGCAAAATGTCAACTTTATAGAAATTAAAAACTCGTGAGATTGGACATTTCAACTTTGTTTGGAAAGTAATAATGACAATGTGACAGTCGTGACGTCACACTCCTGGGGTCCATTGTACTAACGTTATACAATCACAAAAATAAATTGATTGAATCCAACTTACCTTAGTACAAAAGTATACACAAAAAAAGTTACAGTCCTTCGAAGTTACAAAATAAATTTTTTTTTTCCCGCCAAACTTCCGTAGTACATTCATATCAAATTAATTTTGTGACATCATTAGTTTAACACACTGTTTTTAAAACTTTTTTGCCTCTTATCACTTTTTCGAAAAATTAGTTTTTTCCTAGTTGGCCATAAAATTACAATTAGTTTCTACGGATACAATAATTACAAACAGTTCCATCAATAATAGTCAATAATTTGAAGCTCAATCATTTATTGTGTGAATAAGATTAATATTAAAAATTTTGATATTAATATGGCCTACACATTTCAGGAAATGGCAAATATGCATTTAACTTTGGGTAAGTTGGATCAGATTAAATTATGATTTCAATAAACTATCGGGAATATCGTAGGGGAATGTCAAGGAAATAGTGCAGCAGCCGCAAAGCTTTATGCAGTAAACTACCCCAATCGAAATACACCCGATAGACGATTATTTC